AAATCATTCTCATGTATGGGTGAATATAGTTTAGAAGATTGCCACTGAGAAGACTGCCAGAAGATCATGTGTGAAAAACTATGACTGCCTTGATGACTGTAAATCTTTAACACTAAATTCCTAGCTTGCCTTTAAGGAATGTTCTGTATTAATTTAGGTTCTTCACGTACTCTTTTCTTTAAAATATCCAGTGCATCGTAGTCACATTAGTGATGCACTAACCTAGAAACCAATAAGAAGTTGTGTATTTTACCACATGACCTCATTCACATATGGAGTCGTCAAAAGCTGTTCTCGTAGAAGTAGAGAATAGAATAGTTGTTACTAGGAAGGGTAATGGGGAGAATATATGAGGAAGTAGAGAGGGAGTCAGTGGTTAGAATTTCACAGTTAGATGGAAGGTGATATTTGTATGTATTATATACACACCATGCATAATATAACACAGTTGAATAATGCATGGCACAACTGTGTCTTTAAAATAGTTTTCATTCTACTGAAATACTAAATTAAATATAGATGCATATATGTTATATAAAGAGGGCGAGTGTATATTCACTTAGCATATTATGCCCAATAAATATGTATAATTATGAATAATTTTAAAATGGACAGTTACATAGCTTGATCTGCTACATCACAAGACCATTTTGTTTGAAACTCTTCATTTCTTAGCCTCTGGTACTACCTGGGTAACTAGTATTGGTACTACTAGCTAGTAACCAAATAAAAGATATGTGTATACATATGAAACACACATATATGGATGTGAATATAAAATATCTTGTGCTTTTGAAATTGATCGAGCTAACATGTCACATCTTAATCAGAAATGGGAGTATCCATTTGCCTAAAATCTTCCTTAATTGAAAGACTGGTGCATTCATTCAGTCTCTGTACCACTACTTTTGAAACTACTTTGGTTTCTTTTTCACTGCGGGGTTTTTGCTTGTTTGTTTGATTTGTGTGTTTTGGTTTTTGGTTTTTCGAGACAAGGTTTCTCTGTATTGCTTTGGAGCCTATCCTGGAACTAGCTCTGTGGACCATGCTGGCCTCGAACTCTCAGAGATCCGACTGCCTCTGCCTCCCGAGTGCTGGGATTAAAGGAAAGCACCATGAATACCCAGCTGCACTGTGGTTTTTGAATTGGGATTTTTAAATTTGGTAAATCAAAACAAGCCAATGGTTTAGGAATCTTTTTTATCATTCACTTTAGTAAATATTTATTGGTCCATATACTTTGTGCTAGGTGGATAATGGGTAGATCAAAAGATGAATTTTTATCTGTATCTTTTCAGTAAGATATTGAATGAATGTTTCTGGTTCTTCCAAGATTTTCCATATGTTTATCACTGCGGGCTATTCCTTTTATACTATAACATTTTCTTTCTAATAACCATGCAAGGCTTTGTCTTTGCTTCTATTGTTTTATTGGTGGATTACCTTTGTCCAAAACTTAATAATAGGAACTCTTAGTACTCATTCATATCTTGGTCTTGCATTGAAACCTTTGTAAATACTTGTGGGGTCTGGGTTCCTCTCAGTTCTTCCCATCCCCCAGCAAAAACTTTGTGCTTTGTTTCATACTCTGTTAAAACCAAGTAATAATTTGAATTTTAAAAATATTTCACTGGGTATTATTCACATAGTTTGGTATCCTTGGAGATGAGCACATATCATGAAGTCACCATAATTCATGCCACAAACTGTGTCTTTAAAATGGTTTTCACATTTCTATAAGAATACTAAATTTAATGAATGCCATTATTAACATATGCTAATAACCAACAAATGATTTTTAGATTCATTCTTGCTCATTCCTCAGAATAGTCAAAATTCCCTTGCTTATAAGGTCTTAGGCTGTCTGCATATAGAAGCAATCATTTGCTCTTTTCCTATGCTAATGTGAGTTTGGATACCCTATTGTAATTCCTAGACCTGTATTGCAGCTTCTCAATCCACCAAGTAAGTGTAGACCTGAACTGTGGTGTATGTTCTCCTTTGTGCATCTCTTTATCCTTTATATTTACAATAGTCTATCAGTCATTTGCCTACCTGACTACTTTAATGTTTCTTTTTTACCCAAAGACATATTAATCATTAAGATCAGAAATGCCAGATGTGGTTGAGGACAGTTATTTAATTTTAATACTTGAACTTTTCCCCTTAGCTTTCTCAATAGCCAGAGGGGCTTATTATTAACAATTATGATTAGTATATAAACGCTACTATCAGTTTGTATTTATTTATAAGGTTAACACATAGTTATTGAGGTACAATTTAACTAGTCTGGAAATTTCATGGGCCTTCTGCAACCTTCCTTTTGACTGCTTCTGTCCCCAAAGAACATCACTCAGTAGGTGACCAAGTAAAAATGAATGAAACATGGGATATTCAGCTGTTGTCTTTGTGAACAGTTAGTAGAGTCTGATAGAAACTACAATCATGCTTTCATTGTTCTTCAGAATTTTCTGACAAATAAGTTGGATGATGATACAAAGGGCTTACTTCTTTTATAAAGCCCAAATGAACAGTAAAGGGAAGGTATTATGAATGATAGTAAATTTTAAGGGCCCTGTTTTTCTGGTATTAAAATTGAGTCAAGAAATTGCTAACAAGGGTTTACCCTTAAGTAAAAGAAAATGCTTAGTCTTCTACCTCTAAATAGAAGTTCATAGAAGGCCACAGCTATTTTGTGGCTTTTAGGCTGGGATATCATTTGAATCACTTAAAATCTTTTGTATTCGTCAGTATTGTAAATGATGTTGGATATTACCAAGTGCAAGTAGGTCTCTTTTGTTAGACAAAGCAATGGATTTGGCATAACATTTAATTTTCATTTATTTCTTCTAACTTGATGAATAATACGTTTTAAGTAATAGGTTAGTTTCTGTTCAATACATCATAGTTGTAATTTTTTCAGTTTTAAGAAAAAAGCAAAATTAACAAGAAACTAGGATTGGGAGAGTGACTTCAATGAGAATGTTTATAGAAGTCTGAGAGAAAACAAATAGAAAACAAACAAGGCTTCTGTGTAGTTCAAATGTGAGGTTTTAACTTTCAGAGATTCTTGCTGATTTTGACAAGTGTATGAGTCTTTGAATTATTAAGATCTGACTTGTCATGTGTAATTCCTGAAGATGATGAGAACTTTGACAGGTTCCTGAGAACTGTTCCATCACAGGACTTACCTGGGCTTGGTCAGCCTAAAGCTACCTGTCCTCAAACCTGAGAGTCCCACCCCAGACTACCCTGTCTTCTTTTTTTGCCATCTAGTGTGGTCCATTCATCTTTAAATGCTTCCTCCCTTACCCTAATGAGTCCAGTTCCTTTGACTTGAATTCTTTCTGTTCTTCTTAACAAAGCAGACAGCTTATTTAATACATTACTTAAGGTGGAATGCTAAAGTGGGAGCACTTCCATCTCAGCCAACTTGGCCTTTAAGGGTTGTCAAGGCAGCTGTGCAAGTGAAAATTTGAAGTAAGCCTGAAGGATAAGATAAGGATGATATATATGACCCCACCAGACTCCAGAGATTCCTATTGTCCCTGTATTTAGAGGAAGCCCTTTGACTGCAATTTAGCAGTCCAGTGAAAGAAAAAAAAATTGAATGCAAGAAAGAACACACAAACACATAATAAAATACAGTGAGATACCACCTATTAAGTCTCTATTAGAAATATATAAGTAATATATATATATATATATATATATATATATCATTCATTCATTACACTTAATTCACTTAATTTTTATTTTTAAAATTATCTTGAATTGTATCTACAGGTCATACATAGTAAGTATTCAGTACTCTAGGTAGGACAGGGGAACTATCAATGAAATGATAAACACTTTGAAAAGAAAAGAGGCACACATGTGGCATGAACTGAAAAAGAGCACAGTAAAATGATTTAAAAAAAAAGAAAGAAAAAAGTGCCATTCCTGATACTAAAGGCAATACTCATACCAATCTCTTTGAGTCCAGGAATTTTAAAGAGAAACAAACCAGTAAAAGCCCTTTGCATTTCTAAGGCTTTTCTTTACTAGTTATACTCTACATTATGGACGATATAACCCTGTTATCTTATCTCTTATTCCTTAATAGGGATCGTTGTAGCATTTCTAGGGCCTCCTTTTGAACTATGAGTATCTGGCCCCTACATAAAGACAAGGCAGGGCAAGTCAGATCCATTTATGAAACAGGACCCGTAGTAAAATAGTAAAATAAAATGGCAATGCTATCCTCATTTTATATAGCTGGTAAATTGTTAAAGTATTCCCTTTTTCTAAATTTTCTTTTTCAAGGCTTCTATAACTATCAGTGGGACAAGAAAAGGAAGAAGGGCGCTACTGGGTGACTGGACACATAGTAGGACAGGCAGCCTTACTGCCAAGCATTATAGCTAGGAAGAGGAAGAAGATGGAAGGAGAGAGGCTTTCAGGAGTATACAAAGTCCACAGTGAAAGGCATGGCTATGTGAGAAATCTTGTGTATATGTGCTATCATCCATTGATGAAATTATGGCTTTTTCAAAAATCACCTTACGAGTAAAGTTCATGCTATATAGATAGTTGTTGTTTTAAAAGCAACTCCTAAATGGGAATTAGGAAAAGACAAAAGGATCAAAACACAGTGATAATTACGTTTAGAATATATACATATGTATACATTTCATTTAAGAGCATTTAATAGAAAAAAGGACATAAATTTCGAAGAGAGCAATAAGAGGGTATATGGGAAGATTTGGAAGAGGAAAGAGAAGGGTGAAGTGATATACAAATATAAAAATTAATATATAATTCATAACATTTAAAATATATAAAAGAAAAATATATAATTATATAATAAAGCAATATGATTATATACTCTCAAAAAAAACAGGACAACAGAAATAGTGGCTTAGGAAATGCTATAATTCCTTTGAGAATGCCTAGTATAAAAAAGTAGTAAGAAGGATATATTTAGCTCAAATACCTCTTTTTCTCTCTTTTGAACACAGGCATCTTTTCCTATGAATCCATCACTTGCAGCTAATCCTGCCATGGCTTTCAATCCCTACATGCCTCATCCTGGCGTGGGCCTGGTTCCTGCTGAACTTTTACCGAATGCTCCAGTTCTGTTTTCTGGAAACCCACCTCTTGCACTGCCAGGAGTTCCGGCCCCAAAACCACCTCGTACTGATAGACTGGAGGTATTTGTGAATACATAAATGCTTGTAGAATGAATATTAACTTTATGCATAATGTACCTTTTCAGAGCCAAATTTGTTGAATGTTTTAAATAAGTGTATCTGAGTACCTTTTAGCATAAGGAGCCTGAGAAAGACTGGTAGCCATTTTTTAAATTTCAGTTAAACCTTGTTCTGAAGTGAATAAATTCTGTTGTGCAGTTGGTCAAACAAAGTTTCAAGTATACCCATACATGAACCACTATATAGGAAGTCTGAAATTTTTCTTTATATCCATGCTGGAGCTGTATAGAATGGGATAACTGCATTTGCTCATGAGTTTCTACTTTTTAGAAGTGTGAACTAGAAAAGAACATAAACCTAACATTCTATGATTATAGAGTGTAAAGCTATATGAATGGAAGTTATAAGTGAATTTTATCACATGTAAACATTTTCTCCATGTTAAGAATGATCTACTTCATAATACCACATAGACTTAAAGAATTTAAAATAAATTTCAGACATCCTTTGATTTATTGGCACCCTTTAGTTTTCCTTCAATTGTTATTCTTTGTTCACTAGAATAAATAACTGGTTAATTTCTTAGAAAGTCAGCTCCGTTGGCAACCAGTTGAATACCTGCTCGTGTATTATAATGGAATCGAAAATTACATGTGACTCAATGTGGTTTACAAATTGGCAATATAAAATTCTGCAGTGCATTGTTATATGATAAAGAACCACCCCAGACCTTAAATAATTAATTACACTTGAGACTATATGTTAACTTCAGGATTCAAACACATTTTCAGTAATACTTTAAAGTCCTACTATATCAGTATAAGGCAAATAGACACTCTCATCTTTGTGAAAAATGTGATCCTCCCCCCTGGAGTAGAAATTGTGGAGATTTTTTATCCTAGGGTTAATATTACTTTGTATTACCCTTCATCTTTTATAGCTATTTCCTACATAGATGACAAAATGCATATGTGACACTCATATCTTCTAGGAAGGTAAATAAAAGCCAGTCACCTTCCAGTCATCACTGGAAATGTGTGTGTGTTTTTGTTTTTGTTTCCATTTTAAGGTTTGCCGTGAATTTCAGCGTGGAAATTGTACCCGTGGGGAGAGTGATTGCCGCTATGCTCACCCTACGGATGTTTCTATGATTGAAGTGTCTGATAACACTGTGACAATCTGCATGGATTACATTAAAGGCCGATGCTCCCGGGAGAAATGCAAGTACTTTCATCCTCCTCCGCACTTGCAAGCCAAACTCAAGGCAGCTCATCACCAGATGAACCATTCTGCTGCTGCTGCTGCTGCAATGGTACGAATAGGATGGGTCTGTGGGCTTCATGTAAGCCTGCTTTGTCTAATAGTTTGCATACATAAAAGACTGGCTACTCAAGAGTGCATCTTTATATGAATAGCCGAAGTTTAATGCTTGAAAAGAGAGAACCAGTTTATTCTACTTTATTTGCTAAGACTTTTAAAAGATAATTATTTAAAAGCTTTATTAGTGATTTTTAACCCACGATTCCTTTTTCCTAATTTTAGAAAAAGGTAAATTTTATGAGTTAAACAGTAAATTATGTTGAGTGCCTCTCATAGTCTGACTAGACTGAATTTTTAAAGCTGGCAGGGTTGCCTCTGTTCAATGAGTCACTTTCACGGGCACTTTGTTACTCAAGTCCTTAATGCCCTTTGAAAACACCGTGCTTAAAAGATGGGGTATTGAGTAGCTTCTAATTTCCCAAAGGTCAAAGTTATCTTTCTGCTCTAGTTGTGTGGCACAGACAGTGACAAAGAGCAAGGCATAAGCCTGAAAATCTTCCAAGAGACTTTGACAAGACTGAGGGAAAAGGCCTCTCCTTTGAGTTGGCGTAGCACTCAGTGACGGGGAAGAGTTAATTCTGATTGATAACCCTAACAAGTAGCAAGCAGAAAAACATAATTGTATGGCACTGTGGTGTGAGGTGTCAAAGTTAGAATTACGCAAGTGTTTCACAACTATGAAATATTTTGATGTGTTACTTGCCACACTCTTTGCTTGTTTGGTGTTTGCTATTAAAGATCTTTACTCATATTCCTAGTGGGGGACAAAACTGAATAAACTTCATATTACCTGTTTAATCCCAAATCAATCCCATAATCAGTATGAAGCAAATTATATGTGCATGCATTGTCCGAATAGAGACCTTGTGTTTTCCTAAGAGACCATCCCCTTCCATTGTCCTTTCTTCTCTCCCATCCCACTTCCCATCAGCTTTATCCGTCTCTGTTTCTCTGTGATCTTCCTTTGCTCCCCTTTCCCTTTCTCCTTTCTTTCTTTTGTCTCCTGTGACAGGGTTATACTCTGCACTCCAGACTGACTTCAGATTCCATATAGTTCAGGCTAGCTAGCCTGCAATTCATTATCTTCCCGTTTCAACTTTCTATGAGTAATATATTCCTTTTCAGCCATCTCTCTTTACAAGGTTTTCCTCATACCTAGATGAAATGTATTTTTCTGTAACTGGAATTTCGTGTTATAAAGTCCAGTCACTGTCCTAAGAGGATCTCATGTCCCTGGAAGAAGGGCTTCAAGTTTCTGATAGGTTTTAGAATTAAAACTTGGAGCTATTTAATGGATCAAACATTCCATACTGAAGTGTGCAGTCAGCCTCTGTAAACGAAAACTGTAAACACTTAACATTTCACTTAACCATATAAAACAAGAGTGAGACTGGCGATAGTGGGGATGACTCACCTGCCTTTTCCTTACAGGCCAGTTTCTAGGTAAAGCCTAGTAAGATTTGAACCTGAGGTCCTTGTCTAAACTAGATTTTTGTTTTATAGGTCTATAGTATTATAGTCTGTTATATCAACCACATGCCATTTATGCCCATCCATGTTGGGACTTTAAGGGGCAGAAATCTTTGTTCTCTTTTGTCATTTCTGTTCTCCTTTCTATTGTTTACTAGGTGAACACATCTCAGAAGTTAATTGTGTATGACACCTTGCTGTTGGAGTTTTGGCATATCCTGTCACACGTGTTAATGGATTAGGGACATTAAAAAGGACCTTTCCCTTTATATCTCTGTTTCATACTAACTTTTTTTGCACTGAAACAGCCAATATTTATTGTTTGCCCTGCTGAGTAACTACCACTTATGGAAAGTCTTGCTCTATGGATACCCTCGGATTGGCTCCCCAGGCTGTAGTATCTTAGATAACTGGCACTTGTTTGGTTAGAGTACATTTTTACTTCTCTGATAATAGTGACTATTTCATCCCTTCTCTATAGGCTCTGCCACCTGGTGCACTTCAACTGATACCAAAGAGGTCAGCCCTTGATAAGAACAATGGTGCCACCCCAGTCTTTAATCCCAATGTTTTCCACTGCCAACAGGCTCTGGCTAACATGCAGATTCCGCAGCCGGCATTTATCCCTACAGGTGAGAACACAGCTCTGGGAGTCTTGAGTTTAGCAGTTTGAATATGTATACTGCACCAGCAGCTACTAAAGGATTTTTGTTGGGTAATGGTCACCATGCATTTTGACTACAAAGTAAAATAAAGCAATTACGTTTGATTTGCTATTACCTAGAATAACATATGATTTTAGGGATGAATGGATTGAAATTCAACTAGAAATTGAGTTTTGGTTTTTTTGTTTGCTTTTTTGCTTCTAAAGGTTGATTCACTAGTTTTTTATCTCAACTCATTACTAAATTTGTAGTCATTATTTCACAGACAACAATTACCTGTCAAAAGAATTTTCTAACTTCAATATTATAAAGTTCTGTAGTCCATATAATGATATAACAATATCAATAATTTTTAAAATCCTTAAATTTATAGTAAATTTACAGTGTATGGAAACAGGTTGTTTTAGCCTCTAAATATTGGAAGTTATTATTAAGTGAAAGTAAAGATTTGGGGATATATGTCTAATAGAGAACTTGTCTAGCATGTGCAAAGCCCTAGACTTAATCCCAAGTACTATCAAAAAGTTGTGGAAAGTTTTCTTTAAAATTGTGAAGCCTTTAGTAAGTATGGTTCCATTTGCTTTTTAAAAAATGACTTTATAAGATTTAAAAATTACATAAATACGCCCAGACACATAGTATTGTGTACTCAGATATAGGGAAAATAATAAATTGATCAGTTAATTAATAGATTAATTCTCTAAATACAGGCTTGGATCCTGGAGCATACCTTTAAAAGGATATTTGTAGTAAACAAAAAAAAAATCTCTTACGATTAATAAATTATTTACAATGCATTTGTCTAGGACTAAATATATAATTTAAGTGAGATGATTCCTTTAAAGAAAAAGTAAATTTCTTTTTTAACCTAAAAATTACTTTTTTCCCTGGATCTGTGTTCTTAAATCTAACCTGTAATTATAAGCATGGGTGACTACTGGTTTGCATGTGCTGATTAATTGATATAGCAAAAAATTGTCTTTCTAATTAAAATTCACTTCTATCTGTAAGGCCTTAATAATGAAATCTCTCTTTTCTTTACTTTCCACGCTTTTCTGCATGGTGTACAGGGCCAATACTGTGCATGGCACCCGCTTCAACTTTTGGTAGGTTTTGTACAAAAATTCTCCACTTTCTCTAACCTAAAAAGATTTTTCTACTGTGACTATGAAAATATGAGGGACCACATGATATAAGTGGACATCTTTTGAGTATTTAAGGTTTAGGGCAGTATTTTTTGGAATCAACGTAGACCTATTTCTCAAGTTCTCCTAGGTTGCCACTGTAGCCAAATTTTAACCCTGCCATTTCCATTCTAAAAATAGCAACTAAATATTTATAAATGCTTCTTTCCATAGTGAAAGTGTATGATTTTCTTGGCCTTGTGCCTCCTATTTTAAACATATATTTCAAATGTATAATTTCTTTCCATGGTGAAAGTGGATGGTTTTCTTGGCCTTGTATATTATTTGAAAAATGCATTTCATATGTATAATTTATAAACTACAATGAAACAATCCCCTTCCAAAGTTATCCTTATAGTGTAATTCATTACTACACAGAGAAAGAATGACCTTAAGCAAAGCTAGAACATTCTGCTGTGTTCTGTGATGGGTTCTTTTTATTATTTGAGCTTAGCCTTTAATGGCTGAGCGATCTCCGCAACCCCTGTGATGGATTCTTTAGTGTTCAAGGATGGAACATCATCTGCTCAGAAATTAGGCCCAGAATCATTTCAAAAGGGTCTTGGGGTGGTGATGTGGTTTTCAAACTACCAGTCACACCCTCTTCATTCTTTTGGCTAAGATCAAATGATGTAACCAATTACATACAATTCTTTAGTTAACCACCACCATCATATGGTACCCATTCCTAAGCAATCTTGTATTTCACTAATAGAAAAGAAGATGAGAAAGCCACTGGGAGGTCACGGTTCCTATAATCTTCACGGGAACCAGGAACAGAGCATGAGAAATTAGTCTTGTTTAAAGGAGGGAAGAAGGAACACATCTTAGCTTCTCCTATCAACTCAGGTCCTCTCATCTTTAGAGAATTTGTGGCAATTTGATATCAATCCCACTAGTAGACTAAAGTGACTACAGAGTGATTGAGATAAAAAAAAATAAAAGGAAAGGTCAAAATGATGACCACATAGAAGCAACACAAATGCAACAAGATTTGAACCCTGGCAAAGTGAGGAGACCTGTTATTGAAGGATTAGCTGTCACCATAAGAATTAACATTGAGTTGATACTAACAGGAACATTCTGTGAATGCAAGTGGAAGAACAGATAGATGCCTGCAACTGTTGAGAAATGTTCCTCTGTTTCTTGGGGATGCTTCCTTGTCCTTTTCCTTTCAGAGCTCTGCTTATGAATGCAATTGCATGCTTTGACACTGCTGCTCCCTGCACAGATGCTGTACTTCCAGTGAGCGAAACATGAGTGTTTTTAGATAAAGTTAGCACGTGAGACAGTGAAAGGAGGCTGAAGGAAATAAGTAGCCAGAGATGTATAAAAGGAACAACTACGGAGTTTCGGTTGATCACTATTTGGGGGACAGTCTTTCTTACTTTGGCATTGATTGCCTTTTCCTCCTGGCCATTCACATTGTCAGTAGACTTTCAGAAAATCTCAATTTGACCGAGGTAGACATGATAGATTATGATATGTGCATTATTCCCAATCCCACATTGCCATTCACATATTAATTCCATGGTTGGAATTAATTCCATGGCTTTTCAAAACAAGTAGAAATTAGAAAAGCAACCAAACTTTGAAGATGAAATAGAAAGTAGCAAAGCAAAGGAAAACATCCTGAAAGAGATTTTGCACCTGCTAGCCATTGTAGCTCTAATATTTGCTGTGAAGACAAGATTTACTGTGGAACACTCAGGTATTTGGGAATAGCTAAAATTTCCAAGGAACTTACCAAACTGAATACACAGTCCACTGTATTCTTCATCCCTGCTCTTCTACCACAAGCTTACCAACAGAATCACCATTCTTTTTATATGCAGATCAGGTAAGTACTCATAAAACTGCCACTTGTACCAAAACAATCTAGTCACAGACTTGTCAATGAAACCAAACACTGGTTGACAATTCCCTAATTAGTTTTGACTGTCCAAGCCAGTGATTTGTCGGCTTACCTAACTTCAGTACGTAGTCCTGGTAACAGCAGAATTTTTTCATATACATTCATTACAACCCTTCTTGAAAATTCAGCCCTTTGAATCCATTATAGTGTCATTTTGTTCAAAATGTTAGGAATGGCTCTGTTTTCCTTAATAGTAACTATAATTGGCTTTCCCCTTTTCTCTTTTTAAATTCTCCACCATTCCATGCTGTGCTGCTTTGCACTGACTTTGATTGCATGCTGTACCCTGGTGTATATTCATCATGATGGCTTGTTGCTGGGATATCTCTCCGCCCCATTCCATCGTATCTATCATGGTTGTATAAATGCGTCACCCTTCCATGTGTTGCTTCCATGATTTCCTACTGAAAGTGCCCATGATGCACGGTGCTACACCTTCCACTGTGTCTGCAGCAACAACACCTGCCACCAGCGTTCCCTTCGTTCCAACAACTTCAGGCAATCAGGTTTGACCATTTATTTCATCTATTCAGACCTAGATAACCACACGGTGTTGAAAAGACACAGTATATGCCTTTTGGATTGGTGAAAAGCCTTAGTCCATATGCTTATATTTTGCATAACCAGTCATTAGATTTGGAACATATATTTGTATGTATAATTAAGCTAGTGTATGTGATTTTTTTATTTTACTCAGTTTTAATTGGCAGCAGTTTACTCATTGTTAGTTGGTAAGCAGATGCTACTTATGTCTTTCTATGTCAAATTAGTGCTAACACACCAATCCTCAAATGCATATGCTGTACTGAATGTCTTAAATGCTTCCTCATCCCGGTGAAGAAGAAAAGTGATTTTACTGCCCCCTTGTTTTGGTTATTGTGTTTGAACCTTGATTTAGTAAACACATCACCTTTACTTGCAATTCCACTGGAAAGAAAGCATGCAATCACATTTCTTTTCAAGGAATGCACATCTTTATTATCACCCAGTGATTACATCAGAGATTCCTTCCCATGTAGACAATAGATGTGCTTGTGTCGTTCCCATTTTCATTTGGTTTAGGTTTTTCAGGCAGCGTCACAGGCAAATGGCCAATTTTTGGAAAATCTTGAAGTTGTGAGGCAATTAGTACAATAGGTACTGAATACTGTGATCCCTGTTTTGCCTTAGCAAAAGTGCTCACTTGCAGGCTACTGCTTAAATTTCAAGCATGATAGCCAAGAAGCACACAGCATTCATTTGATGGATAAACCACATTCCAACCTGTGCTCTCCCAAATTGATATGGTGGATATAGTAAATATAGTTTTCTGTGAAATTTATTATCATTTTCATGGAACAAACTCAAGCACTCAACAAAATTAATGGGATTCTCCTAAGAAATCATTTTAATCTAAAATCTTTTTTACTACTATAGATGCCCCAATTATCAGTAGATGAGCTGAATAGGAGCATGTTTGTTTCACAGATGTAGACGTTACCAGTAGAACAGTAAGTTTCTTTAAGTATTAATAGATGATATTTGTAGGCTTTATCTTTTGTTTACACAATTGTATTTGTTAAGGTTTGGGCAAATATTTTCACTGAAAGACATTGCTTATAACTTGATTTTGACTGTAAATTCAAAAGTTTTGAAAATGAAATGTGAGCAATGATTTTTTTTAATGTGGAGATGACAGCTGTTGCTGTATTTCTTGATGAGCTCATAGACTCATGTCTATTTTCAAAGAGCCAAAAAAGTTTTAGCCAAAAGCACAAATAAGATTTGAATTTTAATTCCTTAAGCCTTTTTTGTTTTGTTTTATCTTCAAAGCAAGATTTCTCTGTAGCCCTGGCTATCCTGGAACTCACTATGTAGACCAGGCTGGCTTCAAACTCAGAGATCTGCCTGCCCCTGTCACCTGAGTACTGGGATCAAAGGTGTGCACCTCTTCACTGGGCTTAATTATTTAAGATTTTTAAGCTTCATTTTTTTTGTTGAAGTAAAACAAAGTAAACTTGTCAGAATTTGGGTGATATGATCATCTCAAACATAATCAATGTTATGTTTCTTTCTGAGTCAGTATAGAAAGCTTTGCTCTTTCTGTATGTTGCAGTATGTTGCTTCTCATGTAAGTCAAGTAGAATTGCACTAGCTGTTTTAAAGTTTGAATGATACAAAATAATGTAGTAATTCAATAATTATTTTCAATCTTTTTTTTTAACCTTTAACATTTGACCTGTGCTTTGCCTGGGTCAGAGGCCATTAGTAGCACACTTAGTTCAAGCAGCCATTCACATGGAACATGTCTGTTGAAGATACTTAGGAATCTCTAGATTCCTACTAGGATAGTCTAGATTCCTAACAAATGAATCTTCTCCAAATTACATTGTTAGTGTAGAAAGCTTGAAGGTCTCCCACCTTCAGTATGTCATTTGGTTGAAGGATGTAGCTGATATGTCTGCTGCTGGCCTAGTTCCCTGTCTCCCACTAATAAGTTCATAATCCTGTTTCAGACAAAGCCCATAGCTATTATACACTAGGTAAGCAGGTCCACTCAGTCATAGGAATGTTTTAAAAAGATGTGGGAGAGCTGAAGGAGCTGGAAGTTCGAATCCTTTTCACAGGTGTTATTTGGGATAGTAGCAACTTGGGAAAGCCCTAGACGTGAGAGTGGAGGTTTGTCCAGTGTTTGCCAAGTTCTCATAGGCTACTCTACATGAAATCCAAACAATTAGAATGATTTTTCTTCTACATGATCCCTTTAACAATTATGGAGGGTAGCCTTGCTCAGAGTTTGAGGATTTCCCATGGGAGGCCTCACCCCTGAAGAGTGGATGGGTGTGAGGTGGGGAGAGGGTGGAGGCAGAGGGAGAAGGGCCTGGGATTGGTGTGTAAAATCAGATTGTTTTTCAAAGAAAAAATAAGACATTTGGCAGAACATAATAACTTTCCCGTGTAACAGGTGTGAAGTTTTTCATCAAAGATCAAAAATGTCGTATAATAGTAGAAGACTTTCTCAGGATATTTCTGGAAGAGTGTAAGATATTCAGCTAAAAGTGTAAAGCTTTTCAAAGTGTTTGCTATTAAATACTTCTTGAGGGTACAGGTCTGTTGAATGAGTTGAACTGGTGGATGATGAGCAAAAGTTTTGGCATTGTTAGATGATGCCTTAAATATGGCCATCAAGGGACCCTCCCATGTACTGTCCTAGCTATGTCTGCTTAGTGATTGTTTGCATTAGTCCCACTGCCACAGACAGACTCTGAAATTCATCGTGAGAAACATCTTGGTTTATGCCATTTACAGAAGGAGAATACAAACCAGTCTCCTGACACCTTGGACAATAACCCTTCACTGTTTCTTACTGACTCTCCCATTTTGTTTGTTTTCTGTTTCAGTTGAAATTCTGAACAGCAGAGTTACAGAGTATCAGAATCTTTCAAGAAGAAACTCCATATGGCCTTTCTATATAAATTCTCATACGTCCTCTTCTACCAGCACAACAATAAGTATGGTGCAGTCAATATATTAAAGCACATACACCAGTCGAAAAATTAAAATTTAAAATAAAGCATTCCAAAATCTGTGAAGATGTTAAAGCAAATAGAAAATTGACCACTGTGTGTTACCTAATTTGGATTATTAATTGTACATGAATTAGCATATAAAATATAACCATACAGCTTTGTCATTGATATGAATTATCAGGCCCACATTAAAATGAATTATCATTCAGACATGAGTTATAGTGAATATAACAGTAAAAATTTTTTTGATTTTTTTTTTCCAAAAATGATTTATGTTAAATAAACTTCCACAGTGTACTGTAGGCTTACTGTACATTCTTGGTGGATCAATTCTGTTTTGGAAGTGTTACCTTACTGTTTGTTTACAGGATAGTGTATTGGATTGATATAGAATGTAACTAATATGTTCAGTACCATTTTCCCCCATTGATATATTGTATTAAATTGGGTTTTGTTTAGCTTTCTCATGCTAGTGTTTTGTTGTTTATATGTTGTGTTTGGTTCCAATTAAATGTCATTAGTGGGCAACACAGGTATATGTGATTGAAAAACATGACAGGTTCATGTTAATATGCACTCTTTAAAACATTTCTATAAGTTTCTTGAGGCATACATTTAAAAGTCCTCACTTTTGAGTGTACAAAAAACCTGTTCATAGAATTTTACATGTAGATCTGACCTTGCATAGTCAATAATATACTCAAGTTTTAAAAGAGAATATAGTTACCAACATATGCCAGGAAAGTTCACATGTTAACCTCAAACCATTCCTTTTAAATAACTTGAAAGTCAAGTATTCACATTCCAACAAATTTCTGAGCATGTATAAAAAGTATGTAGAGTAGCTATTACATTTATTGTGTCACAAGAATCCTATCTCTCAGCTTGAGTGACTAAAATTGAGCCATTTGTCATCTTCAGTTGAGAAACTGGTACTTGCTAGTTTAAAGGTATGCTAATCATAGGTTCTAAATCATCAAGCAGAGAGATGTGGGCGTGGAGACAGTTTTTATGTACTGGCAGAGAGTGTGTAAACCCTTTGCGTTGTAACCCTTTGCACAAGTGCCATTTTCCAAATGCAAATGGCTCATGCACTTTCAACTATTCTTTGAATAATAAGTGAGATGCAGTTTAGTAAAAGCCAATCCAGGTGAAAGAGAATTGTTTCCAAATGAGGCCTTACCACCCCAAATGGACAATCTTTTCTATTGATCACAGAAGGAGGCTGAGTACAGGTTTGGAAAAACAGCATGGATGGGGACAGGGAGACATTTAAAATGGCAGATTATGCAAAAGGACTATAAAAGGTTTCCACAACTGTCTTTTACTTCATTTTAGTCAAGATTTCAATTTTCTACAAGCTCCAGTAAAGTAGCAAGCTTTGACAAGGTTTTTCCTGCCCAAACTTTAACATCAGAGTTGAGGGGGGGGGTGTTTGTTTCTCTCAGAACAAAACCTATTTTTTTTCTCATTTGAGTTTATTTGCCTTTATGTGTGATTCAAAATTATAGTTTTATCATCATTTGGCTAATATAGAATAGCAATATCCCATGGACGTGTAGTATGAATTCGTCTTACTAATACGTATGAAATAATCTCACAAGTACCAAATAGCAATCCATCTATTTCTGTGACATATAATGTACCTTTTGTGCTTTACGTAGTTATTAGCACTACTATTATTATAACATGGAAGAAACATTTTCCAACAGCTTAAGTAGATTCAGTGTTTTCTACTCAATACCCATGGAAAGTATAAAGTCGTCAAATTTTGGATGTATAAAATTTGTTTCACTTTCTGAAAATCACACGAAAAGAGAAGACATTTGGGATACCTTAGGACAGGTACATGGATTAATTTTCAGAGTGGTGGAGTTGGCAAAGACTTTATTGCTGTTTCCATAGTTGATAAAACAGAAAGCCAGGCCATGTGACTTGCCTAAGGCTGCCTAGCCATAGTGGGAACCAATTGTTCCTCTTTTTTACATTTTTCTTTGGAACGTTTGAGACTCCAACCCAAAGTAAATCAGATTGGCTCAGAATACAAAAAAAGCAAAATTACCTGGTGGTTGGTGTCCTGTTGATCATACTTGTCCAGGTGAATCGTGTTCCCCTGTGATTTCTAAATAGTCTTGTATTGTATGTTGGGCCTCTGCCCTTTGTTAACTGTTGCCTGGAGTTAGAGATTGAGAGTGGTGTGTGCTCTTTGGACCAATTAGTTTCTGTTTTCTAAAGTCATAATTTCAGAAATAATGTATGAGCTAGTCTAGATGTAGTTCTTAGTGGATATGGGAATATTTTGTGCAAAATGAACTTTTTGTAGTGTGACATTTTAACGCAACATACTATCTCGTTGAACTTCTTAAACTTTTGACAAAAGCAGACAGATGAGAAACTTAGAGTAGAGGTGTTCTTATGTTGCTCTAAGCACCAGAAGATACTAACATTGACTTATTGTTAGGAAGCAATTCAGTGAAGGACATTCAGGGTCGTTGTCTTTTTGGTGCAACACACTTCTTTGACATTTTAAAAGTTGCTATGTACGTGAAGTTTAAGAAAGCAAGCTCAGAGCTCGGATATTTTGATCCAGTTTTATCGAGTTTTGAGGGAAATGAAACTTTAAGTTGGCACTCTTTAGTTGTGTAATGACTAATGATCTTATTGAAGAAAAAAACAAGTCATTCGACTCTAAATTGAATTAACGAGACAAGTCACAATGAATCAGTGACTCTAAACAAAAATTTACTGAATCATTTGTAAATAAACTAAATTCTAATCAGTTGTGATTCTTAGTTAGCATTTTGTAGTCTTTGCGTTTTACAATGGCCTCTCTTTTTAGTTCTCCAAAATTACTGGTTTTGTCCATCTTCTCAGGCTTTTGCCAAAATTTGCAAGAGCACTGAAACTTGGATAAAACATGTCAAATATAGAGATAAGCAATCTAAACATGTCATTTCAGAAGGGCTTAGTAGTTTCAGTTTTTACTAAAAGCACTATCTATGAGACCATAATATTTTAAATAGGGATGAAAATTAAATTAAATGGATTCATAAAATTGCTATACAGCATTTATTTTTGAAATTGGAGCATGAATCCACACCCAGCTGTTGCTTTTGATGTCACTTTTCTAGATTAATTTTTAATTTGCATCTGGTCATGAAAACAGTCTTCTTATTCCATCCATCTTGCTCATCCATTTCTGATCATGCTCAAGCACTTTGATCTTGCCAATAAGTGTTGTCCACTAATGGGAGCCCTCAACTCCCCTGATCTCCAGGACAAAGCCAGTACCTGCTCTCAGCTATCAGCAGGAACCAAATGGAATTAATGTTTTTGACTTGATTTAGCCTCAACTGGCACGACCAGTAAGACAGTGATGTGTGAAGAAGGAACCGCATCTACACTACATTGTAGGAAATGATTGGGGCAGTTGAGGCAGCTTGTTTGCTACTTGGAATGCCAGTTGTTCCTTTTCCTTGTCTTTGAAGAGTGTGTTGCGGAGGATGCCCTTAGGCGAAATACAGCCCAAGTTAGCTGAAATCTGTCAGTCTGGGATGGGCAGTGTTATGGCAGAATGATTAATAATTGTAGTTCTCTTTCCCCCTTAAATAAAAAAAAGCTCTTCTACATTTCACTTACATTAAAATGAAAATAAGTAAAATTGGGGGGTCCAATTCCCAATTTTGATTTGTAGATTTAATAAGATAGTGCCCTAATTTTACCAGTGCCTGTCGGGTAGTAGAATAAAATAGGTAAAACAGTTGAACATTTTTTTGCAAGTTTAGCAGATAGTCTAATCAAACTGTAAATATAATTACAAATATAGGCTCTGAGTACCAAGTCACTAATTGGTGCCATGTTTTCATTTTTTATTATTAGTTTTTAAGGTTTTTATTGTACTACATTTTTATATCTAAGTAACTAATGAATTTAATTTTGAAGAAGAGTTAGAGCAAATTTAAGTTTTTACTACATATATTCAGACCATTTATTAGGCTCTAAACTGACACTGTAGCATCACACGGTATAGATTACAGACCACAACTACACTCTGCCATTCAGTTTAAGAATAAATTTAGCTTTATATGCAAATACTAGTTGTCGGCTAAATATATTTACTTGTTGCTTCGGCAACAAAACTACAACATGGCTACCTTTAGACATATGTGCATGTAAAACTTTTGTTGGTAAGCTATATGGGGTTCATGGCAGTGCACACATATAGAAGATACAGCTCAAAACTGATGATGTTTTTGAAGCTCTTAGATCCATGTGAAAACTGCATTTGAGTCCTCTTGTAGCCTTTAGTTTAAAAAAGTTTGTAACACATGGATTCTAGAGTCAGGCTTTATATTTCAAAGAACTGGTTGTGTTGAGAGGGTTGATACAGTATTTTGACACCAGAACGAGCCTGGCATATATATTACCTGACCTTTTTTCATAAATTCATTCAAAATTACCTATTCATGTAGTATCTGTAGCTATAAAAAATCCTATTTTCTGGAGTTATATACTAAAACATCATGAGGATGAAAGCATAATGCAATGTTTAGAAACTAACTCCTATTAATGAACCAACACGTAAAGATACTATGGAATGACCCCTGAACAGTGTTAAGAAGCATATGCTGCAGTTACCTAACTGTCTCAGTTAGGGTGCGAATGTGTGAGACACGCCTTTTTTTGTTTGTTTGTTTTTTTTTTTTTTTTTGCACTTATGTACATAGTCCATGAGAGCAATCCTTGGAGCTAAAATATAAGAAGTCTGTGGTAATCGCAGAAAGTTAGTGAAAGTGGTTTCCGTGGCTTTGAGAAGACAGTTATTCTTTGCTCTGAGAATTAACAAAAGCATAGTGTTGCAGTGCTGTTGTGGACACTTGCTAGTTTGCTACAGTTCACCAGAAGCTCAGCCTGCTAACATATGCCAGATGCCCCTTAACACCACTGAGCAAAAGAACAAAGCACTTCTTTTAGTAAGGCTACTAGCAAAGGTTATTTGTTTTGTGGATTAATTCCCACTGTACACACACACACACACACACACACACACACACACACACACACTCATGCATGCTTCCCAACAGAGGTTTTCATTTTTTTAATTATAAAATGCAGGAAAAAATACTCTGCCCCTTACAAAATAGTTACACATCCAATTAAAACAGACTTCATCCTTCACTGTTAATACATATATCAATTAATATGGATTTAAGTGACAAACTGTTAATGTTTTAACTAAGCAGAAGAAAACCAACCCAAAGCTAACATAACATGGAAGTTGGGAGACAACATCAATCTATCTAACCCACACTATCAGTTTTCACTCCACACTTACAGATAGCCACGGAGCTTGATTGGTGTCCCCCCAGCAAGGCACTGAGGCTTAGCAGTAGTGGAAGTTTGAAAGGGTAAGGGATGGATTACCCTGGCACTTAGACTCCTTCCCATCTTGAGGCAGGTGTCGGTC